TCTTGGAAACATTTAAGACAGTGAAATAATACAAAAGACCTTTTCCAAAAGTTAAGGAAAGGGTTGATAATTCGGTGTGAGACTACTATTTTAAAAGATTTTTAATCCTGTATATGAGTGCAGAGGGGTGATTTATTTTTAGTTTGTAGCTCTGATCATTCTGGGGAAAACTCATGTCTAAATTGATAACTGATTTCTCTTTTTTTGTTGATTGTCAAGTTGATTATGATTATAGTAGCCAAATTGTTTCCAGAAAAAAAGTTGTTATATAGAACCGCTTCAAACAAAGATACATGTTGAGGAAAATAGATTTTGGTGTTTTTCTGATATATACAGTAAATGAGGCATATCACATAGTTATAACTGAATTGTTTGAAGGAAATTTGTATGGGAACATGAGTTAAAAGTGTATTTATGACTCATTAATCATACCAGGTGATCTAACACAGACTCAAGACAGCTTTCATATTGGGTGGTATTTATAAAGTAAGAATTTCTCCCTCGAAATTAGTTACATATTAATTAATCTTCATTTGGATGATGGAAGGTATCTTGGTAGGAATTAATAACTTATTCTTCATATTCATTTTACATGATATTTATGCAAAAGCTTATAGTGAGGATCCTTAGTTTGATGATGGGGTGGGGATAGGTTTGTCTGTTCCTGGAGTCCATTTCTCTTTGACACATTCACTCTTTAGTGTCTTCCTACATTAAGCATAAACGTATGTGTGTGTATGTGTGTATGTACTTGATAGATAGGTAAAGGATGTTACTTTAGCAAAATATGTATATTCCTTGAAGTAAAAAGTCCTGTACTTGTCATAGATTTATTTGGTTATAGAAAGAGAAATAAGTAGGTATGGAAAGTTGATGTGCGATCAAATATTGAATTTCCTTTATATATATATATGTGTATATATATATATATATATATATATATATATATATATATATATATATATATATATATATATATATATATATATATATATATAAATCCATTTTTTTATTCTTTTAGTTTGCCACCTAGATTTGATACCACTGAATTATCTACTAGCCTATTGATGCTGTGATGGCTTGTACATACATGCAATATCCACTGTTATTTTAGTTAATTGCTCATACATAGATGGCTGCACCAGGGCCTAGTCACCAAGTAGTCAGGTACTAGCCCTACCTGATTTCACCTGTTTACCCATTTCCCTGATTTCTGTAGATTTTTTAATTTTCATTTCTTATTGCCTTAAGTATTGATGATAGCTTTATAATGATATCAGTAATGATGTCAGTAATTGTGAAAATAACAGTAATGATATAAAAATAAATTGGAAAAATAAAAGGAATGAAGATATCAGGTGGCCTGTTAATCTACTCCTTGGTGACTAAGCACTAGGGTAACCATCTTTGTTTAAACAAAATTCACAAAAAACTACATTGGGTAGTGCAATTACCTGGTGGCAATGGGATAAGGGTTAAGAAATCTTCCATTGATCTAACAGATGGTTGTTGGTGTCATTTAATTTCCATGAAATGTTGTATACAACCCTTAACCTTGTGGTTAAGGGTATTACATTAGTTTTTGATGACTCATTTAGGCTGTTAATTTCATATCAGTTAATGTGTTTATTTTGTGTAAATGTGTAGAGAATAATAAGTAAAAGATACCTTCATTAATTGTATTTTTGTAAAGGAAACTTCACTTTTTAATTAACAAATTTTCAATGAAGATAGGGTTAGAATTACCTAACTTTAAGATAATTTCTGGGAGTGATTACATATTTTATAAGCAGACAGAAAATCAGTTTTGTCTTTTTGTCATTTATTTATTATTGTTATTATTTTTTAGAAGTGTGGAAGCATTTATGTCATGAACTTAGTTTCCAGGAGTGGGACTGAAGTGAAGGACAAATTCAAAAGTTTTGTAATGTGACTAGATAAACTTTGGGGCTTAGGACATAGGAAGAAGGAAAAGAATTAAATGCATAGTAAGAGCAGTATATCCTGGCTTAGGAGCTTTTTGAATTATGATAGTTAGGATTATTAACTTTATTTTAGTGAATAAATCTCTCCCAAAGAGGATGGGGAAAAAGATAGTCAGTAACAGATTACATTGATGAAATAGGGTAATTAACTAAATTAAAGAATACTTTTAACTAAGAATTGTATAAAAGAATCAACCGACACATTCTTTAGGAACTTAGCAAGTTTATGTGTTCAGGATGGTAATGATAATGAATGTCTTGGATTTTCTCTTAAATTCATTTTGAGCTGTTTTATTCAATGCGTGAAAGAGGAGGAGAAATTATCAGTGTTGTTAGACTGGGATGAGAGCTGAATATATTGAACAGGGATACACAAGTTGGGATCTTTTAACAACAAAACTGTTTGTAGTTATTGTATATTAAGTGTCACCTAATTGATAGATGGCATTGCATACATACATTTTATTTCCATTTAATTTTCTCTTTCTACTGTTGATTTATTTGTTTTGTACAATTTTGATTATTTTCACCCATATTTGTTGTTGGAAATGTAAATTATATTCTGGACTATATTATATTTCCACAGGAAAAGACAGTAAAACACTTATTTCAGATAAATGCATTGTTTACTTTGTGTGCAAAAGTGTGTGTGCGTGTGAGTGTATATGAACATGTGAGACACCACATGCATGTGTTTTGTTTTTTTGTTTTTTGCACATATGCTTGTGCTTGTGTGCGGAATACCCACAAGCTTGTGTTTTGTCACCACTGCACAGGTACTGAATAGAAAAAGTTGAAATGTTATTTAGAAAAGTAAGACATACCATTACACTTTTCAGTCACAGGGTAAGGCACATTTACATTTCTCTCTGTGTTTGTGTAACATACATACATCAGCAAGGTTGTGTCCCATTCATTTTAGTGATAATTTCTGTTTCATTTAGGTTTCTTATGCATATGCTCTTGTGTTCCTCTTTCCTCTGAAGATTTTAAAGTATTTTCAACTTATTGTTGTTCCTTGTTCATCATCATTTTGTAAAATTAAATCTTTCTTTTGAGTACAAAGTCTTCAACACCAAAAAAAGTACATATGTTAACCGCCAAGATGCTGAAGTCATGATCTTTCTTTTAACATCCTTCCTTGTGCTCCTTGTCACTAGGCAGTGATACTAACAGCCTGTTGTAGTGGGTATTGAGGCCACATCATAACTCCCACCAACAACATACAATTAGAGTTTGTCAAGTGAATAATCTGCACACCACAGCTTTATTTATTTGTTGTATTTATATATATATATATATATATATATATATATATATATATATATATATATATATATATATATATATATATATATATATAATCATATACTGTTTACTCCCAAGATGAGGGCTATGTACTGGACATACATATTAATTTTGTTCATTCCTAGCGTTTATATTTTGAAGTCATAATGAGTGTTAGTGAAAGATACAATGGAGGTATTTTATTGGTAACTTTTATGTTTACCATTGCTTAACCCTCATCTTCTGACTCACTAACCAGTTTGAAGTAATGCTGTGAAGCATGTTCCTAATGGTTTGTGTTTTAAGATGTCTAATCCATTTTATTTTTTTTATTCTGTTGGCAGTAGTAGCTAGCAACGACATTAAAAAAGGGCTTGATATTAAATTACATCTTTGTGTAGGAGAAAGGTGACAGGATTTAACCCAATGCTGCCAGAAAAATGCTGTGCTCACTTTTTATTTTTTGTGAAATGTCTCTTCACATAGATGGCTCTACTAGTACTTAGCCACAAAGGAGTCAGTAAGGAGACCTCGTGATCTTACCTGATTTCATCCTTCCTTGAATTGGTAGATTTTTTTTTTTTTTTTTTTTTTTTTTTTTTTTTTTTTTTTTTTTTTTTTTTTTTTTTTTTTTTTTTAATGAATGAATGCTATGAATATTAATGGTGTTATTTTTATTATAGACATTATAGTTACTGTAATGTTATAGACATTAGTAAAAGCAAAATAAGGTAACGTAAAATATTTTTGAAAATCAAGGAAAAGGGCAAATAGGTGAGACAGGCAGTACTTGTAATTGGCTCATTGGTGACTTAGTACAAGTGTAACCATCTATGTGTAAAGACAATTAATAAAGTAAGCTCATAGTGGGCATGGCATGTATGTACATGCCATGCCCATTGGATTTGGGTTAAGAGAAAAAAAAAAAACTATTTCAAGATAGGATATTTGTCAAGTAAGAAATACAGTCACCTGCACAAAGATATATTTTTCAGCGTTGAAATCTGCTAACCTTAAAAGGGACATGTTGTGGATATTTCTGTTTTAAGTAACAAATATTACCTACTTTAATGTGAAGCGTGTATTAGTGTGTTTAGCTTAATCATTATTTATGTTGACATTCATATTTGTATGATGTAAATTTATGAATTCATTGTATTTAAAGTTTAGCAGGATATTTTTGTTTAGATTTTAAAGTGTGTTTGTAGTAATATCACTTAAATTATTGAGTAAATGTAGTTGTCAGATTTAAAAAGTATTCTGAAACCATGCAGTTGTCAGATTTAAAAAGTATTCTGAAACCATATAGAAATTGAAAAGTAGTTTTTATCAGTTAGAATTAACTGTATTAAACATAATTTAGAGAAAATGCATTTTATAATTTCAATTTCCATGTGATTTGAATTCAAATAATTGACATAAAGTAAACCTTAGGATGAGCACATTATAATTGCTATTCCTTATATTTTCAAATCACTTTATATTACTTTTGAAGGTCTTAAAGCATTTTTTTTTTTATAAGTAGAAAAAAAGGCCCTGTAAAAATTGTTACTTTTTACCTTCTTTTTTTTGTTGTTGTTGTCATTACTTTTTCATGAATATCCTTCTGAAATGTGTCAGTATCTTCTATGAGAGTCAGTGGCCTGTTACCAGCACTGGTTGTTTGCATGTGTGGCCTTGTGTCGTAGGAGTTAAGTTTAATAGCTAAGGAGTGGCGTCCATTTGCAG